TAATTGTCAGTATATTTTTCAGTTATTGGGATTAAATATATATTAAAATTAGTTATTTTTGTGTAGAATTGATAAATAATAGCTTTTTTATTTAGTCCACATTTTAAAAAGAAATTAATTTTTATTCAAACTAAATGAAACTAATTTAATTGCAAGTATTAAAACTAAAACCCTAAAAGTGACGATGGAGGCGAGGACAGAGCGTGTGCCCCTCATGTAGAAAGCGCAGATTCAAATCTGGGACTATTTAAATTAAATCCTTTTTTTCATATTTATTTCATTTTATAAATTAGTAAAATTCCTAAATTAGTTCTTTTGTCTTAATAACCGAAAATATTTTTTGAAATTTGTAGATTTTCGTCAGTGGGTCGTAGAAAAAATATATTGCACAACTCGAGTGGATTATCCATATTCACAAACTACTATTTTCAAAAACAGATAGTTTCTATAATAACAGATTGAACATAATGATTCAACATAAGTAACAGTTAATATTATTATTACCTATATGGATAGAAAATGGCGGATTTACCATTCTCTTACTAAGGAAGATTATAGTTTTCTTTTTTTAAAAACAGAATTACCTTAATTACTCAAGAAAAACTGCAGAAAACAACTATAATCATCCCCAAGGAAAATATCTTTCTGATTTTGACTTATCCTATGCAGTGGCATGGCCAGCCATTTTTCATGGGAGGGGTTTTTGAGAACTATGGGGGGTTCCATTAAGAAATTTAATAAAAACAGTCAATAGCGATCAGCGCCAATACTATAGCGAAAATAGGGATGCGAGGACCCTCTATAGGGGGGGGGGGGGGGGTCTGACCCCCCCCCCCCCCAATGGCTACGCCACTGATCCTATGACTAATACTTACAAGCAAAACCTTTATATCTCATCACAAAAAAAAAACGAAGAAATGAATTTAAAAGAGAAAATAGAAAAGATGAGGAAGGATATGGATATGGATATAATGATAAAAAAGTCTATACAAAAATGAACAAAAATAATACGAGAATGAGAATGTTAGAATATAAATAAAATATTTAAAACAGGGAAATAAGATTAATAAATTTATAAGAAGAATATGAACAAGGTAAAAATCGGAATAAGTAAAATAATACAGGATACCAATAGAGTAGAACCCAAAATAGTAAATAATTGCAAATTTAAAGAGGATATTAGGAAAATCAATCTTAAGATTTTTTTAAAAATCACGAAAAATAAATAAATGAAACAAAATTAATAATATTGATGGTATGAAAAAGATAATAAGGGAAAACCTGGATAATCATGCTTTTGTAATAAGGAATTTTCAAATATCTGAGATATAATTTTTTAAATAATTTTGAGAAACAGTGTTCAGGTAAAAATAGGGAAAAAGTTATACTCAAGAAAATATGAAACATGAAGAGAAAATGGCATGAAAATTTATACAGACGCAAAAATTTTAGATCTATCAGGAAGAGAAGATTATTGCATGTATAATAAGACATTTTAGTTTTGAGACAAAAACCAACAAATAAAAACACATTCGTACTCAAATAAAACACAAATTGAATGGTATATGTACAATTTAAGTTAAAATGCAATACTGAGGCCCTTCCTATGGAGCCTCAGTATTGCATTCGTATAGACGAAAAAATTTTCTTACACCAATTTTTTAAGACTTTTTTTTCATGTTTCCGAAAATCCAAAAAAAAGTTTTTCGTCTGGTCGTCTGCGTGAATGTATGCCGGCACGATAACTCTAGAACGAAAGTTCTGATTGACTTGCGGTTTTGATTTTCTTGAATAATTACTTAGAACCCTGTTGATTTTCAAAATTTTCGGTTCATCCTAACTACTTAAATATCAATTTTCTAAAAATCCGCCTATGCATTTCTTATGTGACAATTTTAGGAATTCCAATCATTTCTAACGTCTCAGATTCCTAACATTCTTAACATTCCATAAATTGCAAACATTCTCTAACGACCTGTCTAACAACAGCTGTTGATAATAGAGGTGAGATTTCTAAGGCAGGTTACGACCTTCATACTTGCAACCAGCCATTTTGGAGGCTATTTTTATTCGAAATTAGTTGCCAAGCCTGCCAATTTATGAAAAATATATAAGCAGCTTCTTAAAAATTACTTTTTTATGGTGGTGCTAACTTAAGCGTACTACTATTTCGCCCCTAGTCACAAAAACACCTTCATTAAATTTACTGGCTCTCGCTGTCGCAACCCCATAGAATAATTACCGCCATTTTTATTTGGCAAAAATCAGAATAATGCTTGGATGTACCTGTTAAGTATCAAGATATCAACTGTGATGTGTAAATATCTCTTAAATGTCAAATTATTTAAAAATGCAAATAATTTGTAGTGTATTTCGGTTCAGGCTTTCCATAAATAAAGGTACAGCAAGACAGATAATATAATGGTCTTATACAAAGCACTTTTTTTATTATATAAAAGAGAGGCAGGATATAATGTTGGTTTTTTATAGATAATTTTAATTTCTGTAGGCAGTTTATTAAATTTTTTAAGCCTTTAATAAAAATTGTATTTCGGGACCTTTTAGTGATGGCTTGCCGTACATGAAACATGAAAGTCAGATTGGCTTCTTGTATTATAGTTGTGATATTACGAAATATATTGAATTTTTTCTAATAGATCTGATGCGATGGGACTGTCATTTTTATTTTATAAATAAATATCAGTCATGTACTGAACATAATTCTGAACTGAAAGCCAATTTATTTCTTTTAACATAGTTGCAATACTCATCCTTCTGTCCTTTATTAATAGAATATAAATAGGCGAAGTAAGAAGCCCAAATATTTTACATGAGAAGGCTTAAGAGGTAAAGGGGCCAATTATTATTGGACATTTTATAATTATAATATTTTAGAAATAAGTAAAACATTGTTATATATGTAATAATATTTGTAATAAATTGAAATTGAAGTAGGTAATATTGGCTTTCTTTCTATCTATACAAGTGAAAAATTCACTTACCCATATTACTTTTAATTTATTTGTGCCTATCTAGGAAGTACATTATTATGTACTGTAAAAAATTTGTCATTTTTAAAAAGTACTAAAAGAAAATAGATTTTGTTAGCTTAAAAAAATCCAAGGCCATACCTGTATAACTACCTGTACCTACTATAACTAACCGAAATATATTCAGTAATTCTTTGTCTATCTCTGTTGGCTGCATCTAAAATTGCAGTACCAAGAGAGTTAAGAACATCATATAAGAAAATACCCAAAAACAGAATACTCGCACAAATACCGAGAGTGCTTTCGCAAAAGTCCCAAATACAAACTATTATATTCGTAGGTACTTGCAGAATTTTGTAATAAACCCTGTATAAATAAATAAACCCCATGTCTCTCTCACAACATACAAAATTTTTTAAAACAAAATCTTCTTTAAAGAAAGTTGTCTAACTATTAACTTACCAAAAAGTCCACAAACTCGTATATCCCTTTGTTTTATGGAATTCTATATCATCTTAAAAAAAAATACACTTATAAAACAGATTATAACCAAAATGTAATAAAAACAAATCAATGTAACAAATATTTAAAAACCAGGCTCTAATTCCCTAAAATATTCATGCCTATTTGTACTCTGTAATAAAACATTTCAACCGTCCAGTTTTTTTTTTTGATAATCATGGGAGGAAAACCAGCTGAATATCGTGCGGTATTTTTATTTCTAGTGGTAAAGCCGTGAATATTTAACGAAAAACTGAAAAATTTAATAAGGATAATTGGCTCATACAACCGGGATTTATTTAAAAGGATTTCTAAAGGAATAAACAGAGCGAATAGAAATATAAACTCTGTAATTGTCCTTGCTAGGGGACTGTGGTTTGCAGGAATTATACGTTTAAAAAACAAAAAATGGGGTATTTGGAACAATGCGGGGTTAAAACATGTAATAATAAAGTGAGATAATTTTTTTCGTGATAGTATACGAGGTGTAACTGAAAAGTATCGAAATTTCTTTCTCTGAGATAAATATTATGGTCAATTTTGCGCATTTTCCACTACAGGAAATCATCTTTAAATGGCATCAACAAGCGAAGATTTGATTTGTTTTTGCTACAATAAAAAACAACATTTTTACCATAAAAAAATCACTAAATCATATCTTTACAAAAAATTAAATAACACAAAAACCATTGCAGTAAAATTTACTGTAACCGAAATTTTTTACGATTAATAAAAATCCTACCGAAAATCTTGACTGCGCCATAATGCTCAACCATCAAAAATCCCAATTCAAGCCCATTCCCAATTACTCTAATAACCCGAATTGGAACCCTTTCTCTCAGTGAGCAGCCGCCTTACTTCTTCGTCCCCCTCGATCCCCACCCCGCTTCTTTCCCCCCATAATTTGTGACATCTGCGATCCGCGGTGACGCTGCGGTAGCCAAATGCAAACCGTGTGCCAGAATGCGGCTTAATTAAAATTCAAAACCAATGTTGTGCTGTTCTCAGTATAATTATGATTTAATGCATTTATATGAAGAAAAATGTTGGAAATGTGGAAAATAAAACCAATCAACACAATTACACAAATATATTAAATAGATCTAATTAAATTCAAAATTAAAATGGTAATTTTGTGAGTGGTATACAAAAAAGGTATCTGGAAAGGATAAAAAGTATTTTTAATAAAAAAAATGTTTATTAATAATAATAATAATCACAGACGTTGAATTTAATAAAAAACTGAAGTTTATGCAAAAAACGCCTCATTTTGCGAGGTATATCCAAGAAGTAGTTGTTTTCAAGAGACAAACGGCTGTTCCTATTATTCTGACGCAAGGCTTTGAGTTTTATTTACTTGTATTTTCAATTTTCAGATATCTTTTGTTTTTTCAAAAAACTTCAGGTTGTTTGAAAATTTGATGTCACCTATCAGATTTTGGAAAATGTAATTATTTTAAATTGATTAAATTCATAAGGTGAGTTTATTTTCAAAAGTTTAATGAAATTATGCCTCAATTTTATAAGAAAGTTATTTTAAATCCGTGTTGCAAAATTTTCGCTGAGCATTCCTTTGTAACTGTTAACTCAATTTCTATCAGAAGACTGGTAACTCCGGCCAAACATATTTTAATTTCTAACCTGTACTTTTCCATACCAAATGATCTTATAAAAAAAGCTCTAAAAGATATTGGACTACAGCTTGCATCCCCTCTTTCATTCCTCAAAGCTGGAATACCTGAAGATGAATTTGGACATATAATAAGCTTCCGCAGGCAAGTGTATGTTATTCCCCCAACAGAAAATTTAAAAATTCAAACATCAGTAGTTATTAGTTTTAAGAATATTGATTACAGGATTTTCATATCATCTGATAAAATAGAATGCTTCATTTGCAAACAACCTGGTCATGTGGCAAGTCGCTGTCCCAATACAATACAAAATACTTCTTGTGCACCTTGATCTTCCAAACACACCAGCTTTAAATGAATCTCTATCTCCAATAGTAAACGAAATTTTAGCACTACCATCTGGCCAAAAGACACCCCTGTCATAAGTTTCACTAACCAAACACAATCTTCTGACTATCCCAACTTAGATGACCTTCTGATGTCTCCTACAGAAAAATCAATTGCGCTCAAACCAGTCAAGTAGAAAACCAAGAAAACGTATACGTCCCACCCAACTATAATCTTACTGATGTCGAATTATTTGATCTAATTCATCAACTCCTACTGCATTCATTCTTGTTGGTGATTTTAATGCACACAATTCTATGTGGGGTTCAGAGAGAACTTTTGGCAGAGGTAAATGTATAGAAAGAGTATTGAATTGTTCGAATGCTTGTCTGCTAAACACTGGATCAAGCACGCACTTAAACTTCTCGTCCGGCATATTTTCTGCAATTGATCTTAGCTTCTGCGATCCTAAATCAGCTTGTTCATTTACATGGGTTACATCTGACAGTCTCTATGATAGTAATCATTTTCCAATAATAATTTCTGATAATACAAATAAGTCTCCAATTAAAATATCAAGGTGGCGAATTGCTTCAGCAGACTGGATCAGTTTTAACTCTTATATTAAAAAAGAACTTCCTCTTCTAGAAATTGGTGATAACATAGATGAGAAACTCAACATTTTCAATAATTGCATTATCTCTGCGGCTGAAAAGTATATTAATAAATCTGACATACCTGCTTCCCAAAAAATTGTACCATGGTGGACTACTGAGTGTGCTTCTGCAGTTCTTAATAGTAAATCTGCTCTCAATAGATACCGAAGAACAAGAAATCAAGTAGATTTTATTTATTTTAAGAAACTGAAAGCCAAGGCTAAATATGTACTAAAGCAAAGCAAAAAGAATTCCTAGCAAAATTACATTTCATCTATAACAAGTCTCCTAGTAAAGTGTGGACAAAAATCAGGCAGATGCTAGGGAAAAAACGAAACTCAAATCTCTCCTCTCCTACAGAATGATAATTTATGTACTGATAGTCAATCCATAGTGAATCTTACGCCATTGCACATCTTTATACAAGGAGAAACTAGGTCAGCTATTCACAGGCTAATGCAGGGACAAAACCCAATGAGCCAACTACATAGCGCCGACCACACAAGGCTATATCAGCAAGTAAAAAGGGATAATATTCTAGCTATGCCTACTGATAGAGCCATAACCACATACAAATTTGAAAGAAATTTTCAAATTCAAATACCAGCCCGAGAATCCTAAAAATAGGGACCTCCCGTACAGGCTGAACTCGTCTGGTACACATACGGTTCAAAAACCAAGGAAGGAGTCGGTGCTGGAATCTATGGACCTAAGTCGAAATCAACGATTTCACTAAGCTTAGGAAAATATGCAACAGTGTTCCAGGCTGAGCTAATAGCCATACAAGACTGTTCAAGAGAAATATTAAATTAGCAAGTACCAGGCAAAACTATTGCCATATACTCTGATAGCCAAGCAGCTCTAAAGGCAATTCTCTCACCAGAAATCAAATCACGACTGGTGAAAGACTGTAGAAGACATGATAGACCTAAGTAGTCAAAATAAGGTGACCTTAGCCTGGGTTCCAGGCCATGAGGGATATCAGGGCAACGAAAAGGCCGGCGAATTAGCCCGAGAAGGCTCAGATAAGGCCATGACAGTCCCCGAACCCTTCTGTGGAGTTGCTAAGGCATTGTGCAAGGCATACATTAAACAACGGATGCAAAAAGAGTCTCAGGAATGGTGGAACAACTATCCAAGACTGAGACAGGCCAAATAGTTCATCAAGGAACCATCGGCCAAGTTTACGAAAGACCTACTGGATCAAAAACGTCAAATCGTTAGGATAACATTAGGCCTTCTTACTGGACACTGTCGCCTCAAAAGGCACATGAGTGTCATAAATCCAGCAGAAGAAGCAACTTTGTGCAGGTTCTGTGAAGAAGAAGAGGAAACATCATTCTACGTCCTGTGCCAATGTGAAGGCTTGGCTGGATTGAGGTTTCTAACATTGGGCGAAGAAAAGCCAATTGCATGCAACTACATGCGGGAGCCACTGTCAAAGCTACTAAGTCTAATAAAAAAGACCAGGCTAGACGACATACTCTAAAACAAACGGAGTCCCACAATAGATCTGAAAAGGTCGCGGTGGACAAGGACAAATAACGTCCAACTCCTAATCTAATCTAATCTAGCTCCTTAGTAACCACCACTTCAACTACTTATAAAACTTCTATGCTTCCATCGTTATATAGTGTCTACACTGGTGAATTGTATGAAATTTTTCAAGCATTTAAGTCTCTAACTGAAGGAGATACACATGTGGCAATTTGTACATATTCTTGGCTTCTATTCAATCCATACAAAATCTATACACTCAACATCCGCTAGTTCAAAATATCCATGATACTTGCAACTATTTGACTTCTTTAGGAATTTCCATTACTCTGAATTGGATTCCATCACACATAGGAATTCAGGGCAATGAAATGGCAGATACAACTGCAAATGAAGCACTATTATCAGGTTCCTCATTAGAAGATGTACAAATTCACAGTGACCTAAGAAGAAAAAATAACCAATTTTTGAATCATAGCAAAATCATTGGAGCACGTTAAAAACAAAATTGCACAAAGTTCAGCATTTGATCACCCCCTCTAAACTACCTTATATATCAAGACGAGAAAAAGAGGTTATTAGGAGAATGAGAATTTTACATACCTGCCTTACCCATGTCCACTCAATGAAATCTGACATCCCACCAATTTGCCAGCACTGTAAAATGCCTCTGTCTGTAAAGCATGTTCTTGAGGAGTGTACTTATTATAAAGACAATCGTACAAAATTCCAGTTAAAAAAATATTCGACTAATTCTAAATTCTCCTGAACAATTACTCAAACTCATACATTTTTTAAAAGAATCCCATTTGTTCCATCTTATATGGTTGTTATTTGTTAGTTTAAATAAATCCTTAGTTGTAGATTACATTATAGTATCTAAATAAATGTAACTGTGTCAATGGGCAGAGTAGTCGAGACACATTAATTTTAATAAAAAAAGAAAATTCTTATTTAATTTCGTATTTTATTTTAAAATTATTTTGTATACTTTTTATTTTGGTAGACCTGTTTTCTTAGATTTAGTTTTTTTTACATTTTCTTTATTGGTTTTATAGACTATATATTTTTTTAAACCTTTTTAATTTTGAAGATTTTATTTTAATAATTGTAAATTCCATCCCAACGTATGCATTAATTAAATTATGGGACTCATAATAATTTCCATAGTCCAACAAATCTAACGGCACACGGTTGACATTGCCGCCTCTCCATCAGCATGGAAATACGGCCCTTTTATCCTTTATCGCGTAATGAAGAAGGTGAAGTAGAGAATGACTTCGGAATCCGCCACCAGAGCCTTTTTACCCCCATCTCCGACTGCCTTCGGGGGCCGTACGCCGCCTCCCAATCCCCTTTGATGAATTTTATGCTTAGGACTGTGATGATCTTCGACGGGGTTAGATCGGGAGATAAAAACAAAAACGGCATACTCGTATAATGAAATTGCTCATTTGCTACTGTTTAAGAAGGAAATATTACCAATAATAAATAATTAATAAGTAATATATATATAATTTCCTAAACAGAAAACATTTTTTAAAAAATCTGAGACGCAATGATTTATAATTTTAATTTTCTGCAATGTGCAAAAAAAATTATTTTCCTAACTTTTTTCAGCGTTTTTCTGACACTTTATAACATGTTAGCATCTTCAACAGATTGGCAGAGGTTGAAATTTTGGATAAAACTAGTTATCTTAGAACGTGTTTATTATTTATAAATACAAATTATGTACAGAAAGTAAATATAAAATTTGCTATTTTAAATTGAACACCCTGTATATTTTTGCATTGCTTATCATATCAACAAACTCTCTCATATTGATTGATACTTTGGAAAAAATCCATCTTCATAAAAATTCATTTTCATAACTCAAATAGTAATAAAATTAAATGTAAAAAATCTTTCATATGCTACACTGACTGCGCCAATTTGGCTTTCCTCACATCGACCTCATCGACTGTACTATTTCGTTCGACATATTAGCCCTGCCGTAGATAGACCGGATTTTAATAGCATCTGGGAAAATTAAACCACATAAACATCATGCGTTTGCTTATTGTGCCCTTCTTGATCCTATCTTATCTCAAAGCCTGCTCTATTATCATCCTATCTTATCTCAAAGCCTGCTCTATTATCGTCATTAGTTCCCCAATTTTATTGTGGCACGTGACGTAACTACCGTCGAGCGAGAAATATGGTCACGATCGGAGGTTTTTCTCTAAATTGCGTAGGAAAAGTGGGCAAAATTTTCACAATTTAAGTTTTTTTATTATGAACGCTGTGAAGGACCTAGCTATGATATGTTCTCGACATGTAAATTATTATACTTACTAGCCATGGTACGTATATAACGGTTATAAGATACTATAACTACAAGGCATCATCGAGAAAATAGTCAAAACTATTCCAGGGAACCACAAAACGTAAAGATCTGTCAATAATTCGAATTAGAAAAAAATCAAGGCGTAGGTACTAGGTATACTATTTGTGTATTATATTTATGTGCTATTTGTCCACTAATAATGTGCTATTTGTGCAGTATTGTGTCCTAGTTTTGTAATATTTAAAATTGTATATTACGTAGGATGTCCATCGCAGTGATGGTGACCCTGAGAAAATGAAGCAATTGCATCAACTTCTGTACTATTTCTATACTATTTCTATTTCTATACTATCTCTATACTATTTCAATACTATTTCTATACTACTTCTATACTATTTCTATACTATTTCTATACTATTTCTATACTATTTCTATACTATTTCTATACTATTTCTATACTATTTCTATACTATTTCTATACTATTTCTATACTATTTCTATACTATTTCTATACTATTTCTA